CGGCCCGCCCGCTGGCGGAGTCGCAGGGCGGCGCCGCGCGGGCTCCCGGGGGTGCCGCCGGGGCCGGAGGAGGGAGGCCCAGAGCTCGGCATCGCCTGCCAGAGGGTTCCAGAGGGTTTTTTTGGGGGGGAGGGGGTCTTCCAGGGAGCCCCCCCCCAGGGGCCTCGGGGCCTCGTCGAGGCAGGGGGTTTGCAGCCCGCGGGGGCCCCTCCTGGAACCCCCCCCTCCCCCAAGACCGCCTTTGGAACCATCCGGGCCTACAGTCGGCCCTGATTACAGGCAGCCCGCACAGTAAGGATGGGCAGCCCTCCGTGGGGTACCCCTGCATCCTTGCCCCTTCGGCCCTATCCTTAGCGACTTTCGCTGCTCAGCCTTATCCGAAAAACGTTAACATGGGCCTCCGAGGCATTGCATCCTTACCGCGCATCCTTATGATACGGGTTGACTGCAGTAGGTCGACCCGACCAAATCAAGGCTACCCTTGCGTCCTGTGTCTCGCAACCCATGCCTCCTACATTTCTATGGCAACGTGGCCCTCGGAAGAGTCTTGTGTCCTCTCGCGTGTCCTGTCCAATCGAATCCGACTGTGGCCTAGCCCAGAACCCGAGGGGGGCAGCGCATGTCCCGGGTCATCGGCCAGTAGGCTAAGGTCACGCCAGTGGGGATGGGGCACCCACGATGCTCCAGGTCTACAGTAATATTACGATCCCCAACTCAGGCGTGGCGTTGATCCCTCGATTTCGGCGCCTGGGGCCGGTCATCGGGCCCCAGGGCAGTCAAGCAGGAACCCAGGACGAAGAACAACCCCCAGGGGAAGGGGGCGCCATAATGGGGGAGGAGGAGGAGGTGGAAGAGGAGGAGGATCAGGAGGAGGAGGAGGAGGAGGGGGAGGAGGAGGAGGAGGGGGAGGAGGAGGAGGAGGAGGAGGAGGAGGAGGAGGAGGAGGAGGAAGAGAAGGAGGAGGAGGAGGAGGAGGGGGAGCATCGAGCTGGAGTCGGCGATACACCTCGCAGGCCGCGGACCTGAAACAGAAACCTCCACGCCGGATGTCGGGGGGGAATGCGGGTGCCGCTGCCCTTCCCTCGCTGTCGGAGATCCCCGACGCCTCGGCGCTCGGAGGAGGCCGGGGGCCCTCCGAGCCTTCTCTGGGAAGGCCCACCCTGCATTCCCCGCTCTGGCTTTCCGCCGCCCCCCGTCCCTGCACCTCTGGACGACGACGACGGCGACGACGACGACGACGACGACGACGACGACGACGACGACGACGACGACGACGACGACGACGACGACGACGACGACGACGACGACCCCCGGTCGTGGTCACCTCTTCTCGCTGTGAAGCGGGCGGGTCCCGAGGGAGGCGGGCCCCGAGGCTTTTTTTCCGCGGGCTCTGGCCTCCTGGGGCCTCCCACGAGCCCTGGGACAGCGAGAAAACATCGGAAACTGGAATATACAGTGCCGTTTTTAATACATGCTCCGCGTGCGGATCATGCATATATTAAAATGCAGGGATTTAGCACTGAAAACAGCGATGAATTCGTGCATAAATTTATTCATAAATGAATCATGGATGAAACATCCGATGTTTTAAAAAATCCAATGTATTAAAAACTGCCCTGTATACACTGCCAGTGGCGGGCGGCTGTTCAATCCCAGGACTTTTTGAGGGTCGGGGACGACGTCGGGGTGGTGTGGTGTATACTTTTTTTCCACGTTTTCCCCAGGAAACAGATAAAAATGTGTACACCAGGCTCCCGTATACACCAGAATCCGCGTTCCTGTGCGAATTTCAGCGCAGGGTCGGAAAAAGCGTCGGTGTATAAAGTTCGGTTCCTTTTAAAACACTCAACATGAGACGCTGGTCCCGTGGGAGGGACCCATTCGATACTTGTTTTGGGGACTTTCCTGTGGCCCACCAAACGAATCTGTTCGACTCTAGTTCGACCCCAGTTCGACTCGAGTTCGGCTCAAGTTCGACTTGGGTTCCGCCCAGGTCCGACTCAAGGCAGACTCGAATCGACGGACGTTCGGTGCAGCTTCGACGCACGCGTGGAGCGAGTGGCTCCAGGAAGATCCCCAGAAGGAGCAGCCAATACCCAAGGACCGGATACCACCTTTTGGGCCTGTTGTTCGGGGGGTCGTAGAGGGAGGATAATCCCAAGGTGGGGCTGAGGAACGGGCCCAGCTGGATGCTCCCGCGGAACGCGTTTCCTTCTTCCATAGGCCGTCTGGAGCGATTTTCCCTCCAAACCCATCTTTGCCCCAACCCCAACTTCCTAGTCCTCCTACATGGGGTCCGAGCAGATGGGGTCAGAGGATCGCGCCGCATCGTCGATGCTTCGGCGATGCGGCTCAATGTGCATCACGATTTCCTCCACGCTGGCGTCGCCGATGCATCGCCGATGCATCGCCGAGGCATCGCCGATGCAACGCCGAGGCATCGGCGATGTGTCGCCGATGTATCGGCGACACGGCGCGATCCTCCGACCCCTATCTGCTCGGACCCCATCCAGGTGGCCTCTAACCTCTCTGTGCCCCCCCGAGGGGTGGGGCCCCAGTCGCCACGGCTGGCTTCGCCTCTCGAATCCTGGCCGGGCCGCGCCCCCGGGGCGAGGTCCGGGGAGAGCAGCGGCAGCGGCGGCAGCGCACGCCCGAGCGCGCGGAGGGCGGTCCTCGGCCCGCGAAGGAGGAGGAGGAGGAGGAGGAGGAGGAGGAGGAGGAGGAGGAGGAGGAGGAGGAGGAGGAGGAGGAGGAGGAGGAGGAGGAGGAGGAGGAGGAGGAGGAGGAGGAGGAGGAGGAGGGGAGAGGGCGCAACTGCTCGGTCGGGCAGGTCCATGTACAGGAGGCAGAGTCAAGAATGGTCGAAGCACAGCGGAACGGCAAATGGGGAAGCAGAGGGTACCAATAGCGTCAGGTCGGGCATGTCCTCCTACAGGCGGATTTTGGAGGAACCATGGGGAATAGTCAAAACAAAAGCACAAACAACACCACACAAACAAGCAATAAAACAATACATAGCCTGGGGAAGTTTTGTTGTTGTTGTTGTTGCTGCTGCTGTTGTTTGTTGTTTGTTTTGTTTTGACTATTTTCCATTGCTCTTCCAGCATTGCCTGTAGGAGGACATGCCCGACCTAACGCTATTGGCACCTTTCCCGACGTGTCATTCCACCGTGCGCCAATTCACTTCTGACGCGTCCCGCCCGTCGCCCGGCCGGCGCCTGCACCCGTTTCCGCTCGCTTGCGCCCGCCGGCTGAAGCATCTTTTCCATTCGTTTCCCCCGAGCGAGCGGGCGGGTGATAGCCGCTGATATTTTCAATATGTGGGCGAGGGCGGGATCACGGCCGAGCTTCGTCGTCCTCGGGATGCCGCGACTGGCATTTTGGGAGAGCGCGCCGGCTTCGGCCAGACCTGCAGCCCCAGAGAGGGGCTGGACGTTTTTCTGCTCCTCCCCTTCGCCCCTCCACGCCCCCCCCCCTGCTGAGGAATCGAAGAGTTGACGCCTTGTTTTCGGCGCAGGATGATGGAAGGCTGGTGGAAGGCAGCGGAAGTCAAGCGAGCACGGCTGCGCCTGCGGAAGTTCCGCGGAAGGTGGGAGCGCTAAAAAGTGCTGAATCTGAGTGTGGGGCCCCCGAGGCCCCGGATCAACTCCTGCAGCCTTCCACGACCAGGCGCAGAGGGGGTTAGCAGGACGGGGGAATGCTTTTCAGAAGGAGGCTGCATCTTAGAAGACGCGGACCTTTTTCCCTACTTAGGCTCTGCCTAGAAGGGTTCTTACTCTGTGGGCTTAAAGGGGCCGGGCAGTGTAAAGCGCCCCGGGCGGTTCCCCCAGGATCCGCCCCGCGGTTCCCCCAGTTGCGTCCCCTTAGCTTAGCGTTGCTCATCTCATCTTAGCTTAGCTTATTTCATCTTAGCTTAGCTTAACTTCATCTTAGCTCAGGTTTATCTTAGCTTAGCTTACCGCCATCTTAGCTTTGCTGAGCTTTAGCATAGCAGAGCACAGCATAGCATCGCATAGCATACCATAGCCAAACAACACATAGCATGTCATAGCATATCATAGCGCAGCATAGCATAGCATAGCATATCATAGCATAGCATAGCGCAGCTTAGCATAGCATAGCATAGCATAGCATAGCATAGCATAGCATAACACAGCGCAGCATGACATAGCATAGCTTAGCACAGCATAGCATAGCATAGCGCAGCATAGCACAGCATAGCATAGCAAGTCATATCATAGCATATCATTTCATATCACAGCAGAGCATAGCATAACATAGCATAGCGCAGCATAGCATGGCATAGCATAGCAACTCATGCTGCTTTCCTAGGGGCTCCAACTTCTAGGTAGGGTCGCACTGGGGTAATCTATCGATGTAGGGCCGGCGCCTTCTGAGAAGCGGCCTCTTCTGAGAAGCCGTCCGCCCTTCCCCTGCCCCCGTTGTCCGCACCGCCAACAAGAGATCGGACTTTTCCTTAAGGCATTGGAGGCTGGGGGTCATGCTGCTGTGATGCCTCAGAGGGACCAAGAGCCTGCTGCGATGCGTTCGGCGAGCGCAGTGAGTGACCGTCGATCTCACTCTGCTTTGGGGCGGGGATCGCCGCCGCTCTCGAAGCAGAGTGCCGGGTACGTCGGGGGTGCGAACAAGCTGGCAGTTGGGCTTCTACGAGTTCACAAGCTGAAGCTGGAGCAGAAATTCGGAGTGGAAATCAAGATGCAGGACCCGATCGTGCCGTGGTTGGTGGGCGCCGTGGGCTGGATGATCGAGAAGTTCCAACCTCGTAGCCACGGGAACTCTTCGCACAAGACGCTGCGCGGCAAGGGCTACCAGGCAGAGATCGCCGAGGTCGGTGAGCAGATGTGGTATCGGATCGCAGCTCGAGTTTCAGCAGGTCGAGGCAAGTGGGAAGCCAGGTTTGCCAGAGGCATCGGGTTGGTAAGAGCGACATCGACGACGCGCGTATGGTGATCGACATCGAACGCGGATTTCAGAAGGTA